TTCTTAGCGATTTTTACTTTCTATTACTTTCTTAAATGCACATTTTTAATTATTAAGATTAGTACAGATCATTTTGGCGAATTGTACAGCGCCTAGAGCAGGCATGGATAGGCGCTATATAAATATTTATTTATTTATTATTATTTATTATTATGAACAATAAGGAAGAACTGAACAGTTTTAGTTTACCAACCTGTACCAGAAGTAACATAGTGGAGCAGTACCGAGATGCCATAAGGAATGTGCGTCAAATGTCCACAGAATTGGTGGGAAGTCTCCCAGCTGAAACAAAAATTCAATTCAATTAATCTGTGGATCAACAACAGCATTCTTATCTGTAAAAGTTCAAAAATAAAACGTAGCTTGGGAAGTCCTATTCAGCATGTTTTCTGTGATACATGCAACTGGTGGGGGAAACTTAAAGATTTAGTTGAAAACGTAACACAGTTATTGGGTGCAACGAACAATGGGTTCCTCATGCTGAGGCGGATCTAGGGGAGTAGTACGTTGAGAGGGCTACAACCCCCCCCCCCCCCCTCCCGTCCCTTCCTCTTTGAGTAGCATTTTTTTGGTCACTTCTATAAATGAATCATTTGCTTGAGGAATACAGCAAATGAACAATACAATACATTATTATATGGCTGTCTCACAAGGACTGGGAACTACCGAATTCACAAATTTGATTGGCTAAAATCGATATTGAAAGCGGTCTAAATTTTCCCATCTAGACCGGCTTCTAGACCGGTAATGTTTCGTGGTGAAACAAAAACTAAAACTAAAATGCAAAAGTATTGACTAGTTTCTTCTAACAATATTTATTTATGGAAGTGCCAAAAAGCCTGATGAGAAAAAAAGTAAAGAGGACGAACAAACTTTGGCAGAATTAAGTTCTGTGAGCAAGTACAAACCAGTTGCATTAAACGAATTAAATTGTTCTTGTTTGCCATGTAATAAACATCTTATTAACCGAGCTTAGTAGGTCTGTATGGTAGAATCACTGCATTCGGTCTGTACTCACGACCTCGGTAAAGATTTTCCAATACAGACCTCCTGCTCGGTTGATAAGAGCTAATTGCATAACTGGTACAATACCGGTGATGCTCAAAAACCCCAAACAAACAACAACATCAGCAACAACAAAAAAACCACTGAAAAACAAAAACAAAAACTGCGTAGCAATTTTAGAAAAAAAACAATCTACAAACACTGTATGTGTTATTAATACACGTACCTCAAGACCTAAAAGGAGGAAAACGCCGACGGTCACTACAGCACATTTCCAAACATAAGGTTGTTGTTGGTAATGCTGCAAAAGCGAAAATATTCAGATGATATCTTTACGGGCAATATATACTATCAACCTAATGTGGGAATAGTGAAGGAAAATGTAGAAAATGGCAGCGAGTCTTTGGGGTGAAAGAGTTTGACAAGGGCTCAATACACCCGAGTTTCCCCCCCCCCCCCCCCCCCCCCCCCNCAAAAATTGAGTTCTCGCCAGAGTTTTCTATGATCTCATCATCAGCGAGGGATACACGTGGCGGGAAAGCGATTAGAAAAGCTACACATAAATATCTTAGTTTGTTATTGATTGTAAAGCCACACGTATGTTGTGACTGATTTCTTAATAAAGATGACGACGACGACGACGACGACTACTACTAATAGAATAATTTTCCTTTTGAAGGGCAACACTCGCATGACCGTGGTCTATCACGTCAAATCAAATGATGAGAGAGCCAATCAGATTTGGTCTGAGATCCCACAAAAAACACCCGGTGCTGAGTCGGTGCAAACTGCATCAAAGTTATAAAATCCTCTACTCTGAATAACTCACAATCTTTGTATGCCTGAAGCTTTTTACGTCACGGATATACATAGAGAATTTCTGCAGTTATCATTGGTATCCACCACTTTTGCTATTTCATGTTTTGGCTTGTCTGCCGTTTAACTGAAGTTTTCCTGCAAAATCAGTCCTCCACATTACCCTTCGAACTCGAACGAAATTCAAGTCAATGACATCATTGCAATGACTTTTTGTGCTTCACAGTTGTCTCTTTGAACGAAGGGTTAAGCAAATAACAAACCTGAACTTTCACTTACTGTTAAACACCAGCTCAACCAGCTGCATAAATTTGTGATACCTAAATGACAAATCAAATGAGTATCAAATAAGTATCAACACGAGAGACAGTGTTTCATCGGGATATTCAAACACCGAGAAGAGAGTTGAAAATATGATGCGCAGCAGGGTATTTTTAATTTGACGACATTCGAGGTGTTTGGATAATCAATGAAACACTGTCTTGAGTGTTTGATATATCGTCCCAATCGAAACAAAAACTAAGGAGTAAACTCGTCAAATCTATGCTATTTAAGACCGGGTATCCAAACCTCTTTCATGGTAAAGTTGCACAAAATATTTTGATTATATATATACAACTGGGTCGCTCATTGTCACAATTATTGGATTACATGCTTACTACATAATTTGTACAGCTCCAAAGGAGTGCCCTGTGCATTAAGAAGAAACCTAAATAGCTTTGAAGATCTCTTTCTCTATTGTTACCTTACATCACTTTAAGTATAAATAAACTTTCTGTTTGCATGTATCTTGGACAAGAGCGCAGAGTTCATGTTGTTGTATTCCTTTGCAAAAACCTTGCGCTACAATCAGCCTACTACCCAATGATTCTCTGGCCTACAGCTCGAATTTTGCAACGCAGTATGAAAATTTTCACTTCATGGGTTTAATTACAATTTACAACTGACCATGCAGCACAGCAGGTCGGAAGCGCAACTTGACCTTCAAAAAAAAAAATTGGCCTCGCAGACTTCTAGTCCAGTTTCATGGATCGTGCTGTGTCGAATACTTTAGCAATGATTTCTGTAAGTCTTAATTTCTTTTGTAAGACAAATAAAGTCTCGGGTAGAGACTAGAAAAAAAGATGCGTGTCTCGTCATCTCGCAAAGTCTGGAATTTGCCAAACGCCAGTCGGCAATTTTTTTACCGTTTAGCGATCGAGCATTTTCGAGAGCATTTAGACTGACTTTTTTCTTTTCAGACTATTTTGTTACTTCATAAAATTATAACCCTCAGTTCACATCATCCCAACTCACCTATTGTAACATTGAATTTCATGTTGTAACCATAATCAAAACGTACAAAGGCCAAGTAAAAAACGTGGTAACAGAAGAGGCAGCAGAAAGACAATCCAACGATAAAACAGCTGTAAAAAAAAAAAAAGAAGAAGACAAATACAGACATGCGCGAACAATTGTACTTAAGGTCATTCCTCACATTTGCATTGCGCATCCTTACTGCACATAATTTATGGCGTCATTAGCGCGGGCTCGTGCACGCGCACATTGAAAACATGACGGATTTGCCTTGATATTGAGCTCTGTCAGTTGAAAAATGGCTCTAGCTCACCAACGAGCACGGGCACCCCAATTTTTTTTCCAGTCATTGTAATCGACTAATCATAAGCTTTGCGTGAGAAAAGACTGATTTAATTTCTATTGCTGAAAATTGAATAAATAAGAAAAATAGCAGATACACTGTGGTCTTTTCTATNTTATTTGTGTCCGACACATTGTATTGACTGTAGTTTAATGCGTGTTCTTATGAGTCCGGGCTCACAAAGATGTTACAATTACTGGGAATGTGTTCTTATGATAAGCATTAAATAATGCCAAAATGGGGCATTTTCAATGCCTCATTGCTCCTTAATGAGCATGGGCACCCCCCTTTTTTATTTCAAAATTGAAGTTATCATATGACAAATATTCAGTGGACAAAGTTTGAACAAAAATCTAATGTCACTTTTATTTCAGAGGAATTACCTTAACACATGTAAGCACCAAAGATTCAGTAAGGTCATTTTGTCACAGGCTTCATTTTCTCATATCAGCTGCTGACAAAAACTAAGTAATGCTGGTGAAATGTGAGAGTTGATAAACATCTCGAAATTGGCTAGAAATACACATATGCAGTAGGATTCGTAACTGAAACAGGCCTACACGCCTGTCCTACTCCAAAACTAAAACACGTGCAAGAAAGTGGCTCAAGAAGTTCTTGCACAGAAAGCCTGCACAGCCGACGACCGTGAGTCAGTGCAAAAAAAGTCCTAAGTTTGGGTTCCTGAATGGGTCGTGACGTCATGTCAGGAAGCGCTAAATCCCGCTAGTTCATGTCACTGTTGTCTCAGTACAATGGTGAGGAGTTGGACAGCTTTTAGCAGAAACAAACCGAAGTTGGCGAAGTACTGCGGGCGTCAAGCAATCTGAATAAAAACACGAAGCTTCGAGACGTTCCTGAAGTGATGTCAGTCCTCGCCAATCTTTCATCACGCGGTCAACTCCATTGGGCGCGGTCGAAGCGGGAACTTTAAAGCGTCGGAATCCAAATTTTTTTGTAAGAATACTTTTGTACGTGTTATAGAGATACTACAACCACAAAATCCCTGTTGGCTGTATAGACACTTTAAGGGATTCCACAACCTTTAAAGAATAATGTAAATATGAAACACAACTTTTAGAGAATAGATAGATGTACAACTATTACCCATTTGAGGCAAGAGTTTGGTGAACTTACCTCCGTTTATTTTCCAGTCCAATAAACCTGTTTAATAGAATACAGGTGCAAATGAATATGTTTCATACGTTTGAAGAAAGAAGAAAAATCTGTTTAACTTATTAAAAATGACAACCTAACAGTGTATCTAGCAAATGATCAGTGTTGAAAGCCCAAATAATTATGGCATGGCTGATCTTCTAGAATGACACAAAGTCCTGTCACAATTCGTTTCAGTAATTAGTAATAGCTACTCCATAATAAAGTCTGAGATACAAAAAGCGACATTTAACTTTTTGATGCACAAGAAAGCTGAATTTATGATTACATACTCCAGTCATGCATGAATGGTGGAGAAACTGTCTAGTAACATGTATTAAAAGAAATAATAAATAAAACATAGAGTTAATGTACCTCATTAGGCAAGCAAATAGTGAGTACATAACCATAGATGTGGCACAGAAGTAATCCATTTTCTGAAAATGCAGTATCACAATAATTAATATTTTTTGTCCTCAGCACTGCCAGCACTGAGGGTAAAAAATAACACATCAACTGGAACATTTAGTGTGTGATTTCAGTGTGAACTATGGTTCAAATTTGTTTCTGCATTAAAATTAATCAAACCAGTTTATTTTTAACTTACTTTGTCTCCTATTTATTACCACATGCTCGAAATCATGAAAAAAGCGATCAAACTGCATAGTTTATAATGATCAGAACAAATATTTTCAAAACAAAGACAAATTTTGAATGCATCACAGAGAAATGTTGAGTGAATGAAGCTGGAAGAGTGACTGCCACCAGAGGCAGTGGCAGGTTTAGTAAACAAAGTGCAGTCACTGATATCATTATCTCTAGAATCAAATTACCTCTGTCCAGTTTAGATCTCGTGTGTGAAAAACTGTTGACCAAAACCAACCGTTTATACAAACCTGAAAAAGAATCACATTTTTGTGTCTACTTGATAGTATTTTCAAGCAATTAATTCCACAAGAGAAAATGGGAAAATAAAGTAACAAAACTCTTGGGGAGCTTAATCCACTTCCACATAATATAGAGTAAATGAACAAGACCAACAATGCTCTCTCAGATTAGGGATGTTGGGATAATGCCTCAAGACTGGTGGGTTTAATCTCTACAGTGGTCTCGATTTCCGGCCACTGTTTGGGAAACAAGCCCACACTCTTCTCCTGAACTCATTCTTATCAGGGAGGAACAAGAAAGGATGGGAAAGAGTGGCAGAAATCAAACTTAACTGACTTAAGGTGATTCCTTAGTATTGCATTGCGCATCCCTACTGCGCACGATTTTCGCGTCATAAGTGCGCGCGCATGATCGTGTGCGCATACAAAACATAAGAGATTTCCCTCAAACTAAGCTCAATGGCGAAATAAATGCTCCTTTTCTATTAAACAAGCACGGTGACCCCTACTTTTTATTTCATAATTTCATTGAGAAAAATATCCTCAATAACTGAGAAAAAAATTAGCAGAAATCTATGGCTACTTGTTTTGGTAAATGAAATAAATACTACAGGGGGACACATGACAGGCCCAACAGCGCATGTCCAAATTATGTTTCCTTTAAAGGATAAAAAATGCAGGGTATTTGAAGACATTTTTTCTGGGCTGTAGATGAACAAACAATCAAAGAAAGTCAAACTCTGTGTGATATAACAAGCTGTATTGAAAAATAACTGAGTTTATTTGTTGCGCAAAAAAATGACCAAAAGTCACCTAAATAACCATATTTGTCAGCATTATGGCATGAAAACAAGCACAGTGACCCCGTCTTTTTACTATGTTTTTAATATCTCCTTGTCCTGTAACAACAGCATACAGGTACCAAGTTTCATCGGAAGTTGATGGCGGGTTCCTTAACTACAGAATCACCTTAAAGAAATTATAAATTTATTCAGTTAATCACAAACTTAACATGTAACCCATTTATTTTATAAGTACTGCACTCAACTAAATACCACTTCCAAATGAGCACCACACATGACAGACAAAACTATCAATAAGTGCCACCCTGGAGTACATGTAAGCCCTGTAACCCTTGAACAATAACACAGCACTTACTGGACACACCAGGGATCAAGAGTGGCGCTTGCATGTATTTCATGAGGGTTATTCCTCCCACCACCCAATGCAGATACTTCACTAAAACTGTGAAAGTGATAGTGGCATTGAAATTTGCTGCTAGTACAATGTACCATAAATGATAATGTTATATTTTGTAGACCTGACCCAAGGGACTCAGAAGGGTCAAATCAGAAGACGCCCTAAAAAACCCTAGCCTGGGCATGGCAAAAAAAGTAAAACAAACAAACAAACAAACAAATAAACAACAAAAAACAACAGTTCAACAACTGTACAACAGAAGAACAAAACAAGAACAAAAATATGGAGATTTGCAGAGTCATCTGACTCCATTATGTTTTATTTTTTCAACATGCTCTATCATTGCTTTAACATTGGCTCACTCAACCATACGTGCAGGGCGTTAAGAAAAATACAACAAAAAAGGTTACTGGAAAAATATCAAAAACAAAAAACAAAAAAAACTTCTCCTTGTTTATGAAAAAAAAGTCTTAACCTGTAATTTAGTCAGCATTGAAGACGTTTCCTTTCTTTTTTTCCAGGCAAGCAGATTGAACAAGCGAGCAGTCAAATTAGTGCACTAGGGGTGAGCAAAAACTGGAAGGAAGTGGGGAGGAGATGAGCGAAAAAAGGAGAAGAGGAGAGGTTTTTTGTGCCACCCCTTCCCCTTGCTCCTTATTTTTTGCACTCGCATACAAATTCATTCCCTCTGCAAGTTTTTGGAAATGAACACCCGCTATGCAGGCTACTTGCAATTGTAATTTAAATATTAATATAATAAATATGACAGTTACAGCCTTACCACAAGATTTACTTTCCAAACTGAGTACATGTTGTAGTCTGTGTTTGGTACAATTGATCTAAACATTCTCCAACCAAGGATATGTCCAATTCCATTAAAAATTGAAAATAATACTGAAGCAGGTTCTTGAATTCCAAGGAATCGTATAAATGGCCACTGAAATAGACAAAGGCACAATACATTTCCTGTCACTACATTGTAGCTTTGCATCATAATTTACCAGCTTTAATTTTGTGAAGCCAGTTACTTACTTTGCCATAAAATTGTTTGATTCGTTTATTGTTTCTCAGGTCACTTGCTGTGACGTTGTGCATACACTGATACTTGCATTCATCTGTACAATCCCACCAAAACACAGTCAAGTATATCGGCAGTTTGCCAGGGTATTCATCCAGACTGCATCCCTTGGAACATTGCCTCATACATATGAGAAACTGTTTACAAGTGTCTCCTCTTGAGCCTTTCACTGGGTTCCATAGCAAAGCAATTAAGAAAATACTGCTCTGTAAGTACATGAGGAAAGAGCTGAAAAACATTTTAAAAATTATTTCAGTACCTGAATTCAAATTAGAAAATCATTTACTGGAGTGCACAAACATGAAATCATGAAATCATCCTTGTGTAAGATGTTACTGCTTCATATCTGATCATCAAAACTAAGCTTACTTACTTGGATGTGTGCACCAAGCAATACCCATTACATTGTAAGCTCTCGTTTTCTTTTCTTTTCTTAATTTTCCCCAGCCTGTTTGCAGGCAGCAGTACTACATGACTTGTATTTCCATATTTCATACAACAAAGGTGATGTCTGCAACTCGAGAGCTGTTGCTAGTTGTGCTCTAGCAGCTTGCTGTTCACAGTTTAAGTGTCAATTTTTGTTCAAATTATGGTAATGAGTTAAACTGGTGCTGACTCTTAATTTCTGTTGTTCTTGTTTCTGAAGGAACTGTATGCTGTGCTTTTAAAAGGAGTTTGAATGAAGAACAGTATGTATGTAGGTTGTCTGTGCTGTATGGGGTTCTTCCCTTTAGATTTTATGGACCATCCTTATGACTTTTTTATATCATCTTTATTCTCATTATTATTGCTTTTGCCATCTTCTTTCTTTCTTTCTTTACATAGTTTTAGCCATTGAATTGCGATAAGCATCCCTTGACTATAGTGATAACAATGCTTACAAGTCATAAGTCTGCAAATGTGGTCCACTGTTTAACTGGCCAATTTATGTTTTGCTGCAAATTGTACATGTATATGGTTTGTTTAATCTTAACAGCACTTTACAGCACTTTACAGAGCTTAACAGCACTTCCCTGGAAGTTCCCTGTATCTGGTAATGCTTGACATTCTCCATAAATGTTGTTAATTAACTTTGTTCCAAGAGATAAGGAGAGCAATGCAGTGTTGGTAGGTATATGAAAGAGGTACCTTTTCTGTCTAAATTGTATACAAAAGGGTAAGGGGTCGGACCTCAGGGCAGAGCCTCCCTGTATAAATAGAGGATATTACACGGTGGCGAGAAGATATGAATTTTATGTTCTCGTGGCAAGAACAATATCTCACTCGTTCGCTTCGCTCACTCGTGAGATNATATGCTACTCGGGTCCCGGATGAAGTGGCGTATGGAATCTACGAGTGGTTTAGTTCCCAGTAAAACACTCTTCTCCATATAATAAAACTTTGTATAGCACCCCCGCCTGCCCCACAACAATGAGGCGTCAGGTCATGTGTCATATTCCTTGATTGCTGGCCTATAAACATTGAATGGGGAGAAAACTGTGAGCGTTTAAGCACGTAATCACGTGACCAGTTACCATGGCAACTGGAAGTGCAAAGTACTTTTTGAACAGACTCAGTTTCAATTTGATACCTTATTACACATAACAAAAGTTGTAGCCTCAAGAATTCATCCATTCTATCACGTACAACGTAAGCATTAGGCTGCTTTCCGAGCAAAAATCCTTCTGCGTGTAAAGCCAAGAAGACATCTTGACTTGCTGGCGCATGGCGCTAGAAATCGACTAATCAGCTTGTTGTCCTTACCTCATTTTGGCTTTATTCTGTTGAAGATTAATTATGTCTCCAGCCCTTAATTAGTTCAAACCTTTCATGATAGCAGAATTACAGGATTCGTTTACAGAAAACCGTTGCAAATGAGCCGACGTAAACACGGAAAATATCCGAGTGTGCTTACACAACGTGGAGAGCTCTGTTGCTGGCCAGTTGGAACGATTTCTCGCGCCAGTCTCTTTGATTGCCAGGGGAAACGCCTGGCATTTATCTGCAGTATCAATGAGGATGGTCCACTTAGCAGACGGTTAGATGGCTTGTACTAGAGGTACAACGTCATTACTTTGTTTTTGGTCAAATTTCCAATTTCTCTTCAAGCCTGTGACACCTTGGTCAAGGTTGGTACTAAATAAATCGATTTGGGTCAATCGTAAATGAGCGTTTTAAGATCTGCTTGTTGATCAATGACTTGTGGCATGACGTAACAGCAATATATCTTGATAGTTGTGGACGATTTTTGTCAGCCTTCTTTCGATTATCAATAAAACCAAAACTTAAAGTAAAGGCGGTCTTATACTCGATAATTGTTGTGAGTTAAATAAGTTTTTTGAATCCTCCAAGCATAGGAAAGATTGATGAGTTCCAAAGATGTTTAGGTTCACTAAGCTTTAATCACGAAGCCATCAAGATGGCTGACTCACATGGTTAACAATCAAGATAGAAATCTTGCATCATGGGAAATCAGTTAATCAGCCTCGCAAGGCATGATAGCTTACAAGATCATGGCCAACTGGTACATTTGCCCACAATTCTTAGCGCACGAAAACCTGAACAATGCTCTTAAACAGCATTTAAAACATCCATCTAAAACCCTCAAACCTAGTATACACAATGTCATTTGGTAAATTTGAGATTTTGCAAGATGGGGAGACTAATATCTTTTGTTGTACTCTTTTTGTAACCTTTTGTTACCCTGGGTCTTCCTTAACCTTAGAAAAGCGAGAAAAGAAACTGAGAGTTCAAAAAGTGGTTGCAGAATAATTAGAGATGGCAAGAATACAAAATTAATTTGGATAAAATGCTGCAAGACTCTTATTTCTGAAGGATCATTTGTAGGCTTTAATTTACCCTTTGTTTATTGCTATTTTTTGCAGGCAGCTGTTATTTCACCCATTCTGCTACAAATCTATAAGTTCAGGTATGAGCTTAGTAAGATTGTGCTAAGTTATTGTACAGAGCACTTACTGTTTTGGGGGTATTAAATTGAAATAGTGCAATTTAGAACAATGCTCTTCTGTTCATACAGTACTTAGTTAACTATCTGATCTGTGGTACCATTGGAAACAGGCAAACTTTATTAGCCATTAGCAGTCAGCAGGTATTTCTAACTCCTTCCAAGCTGTTTCTTTGTTCCAGTTTTTAACCGTTTTGGTATTCCTGCCTGTTGTCTCTACATTGTTACTAAATTGGATGTTATCACATTTGCAAGTCAGAATGTTCTTTTTGCATAAATTTGTTCTATTGCTAGCTGCATATAAATTAGGCATCTGTTGATAGTCACCTTGCAAGTGTGTGCACTTTTGCAAAAGGCAAACAAATAGTGAGTAGTTACCAAAACTCGGGAAAAAGTTTCATTTAACGAAAAAAGCTCTCTGAGTAGCTTGTGTGGTGCACTTAGTGCTTCTGGTTTTCCCCTCTCCCTCCCCTTTGAATGCCTGCCACGCGGGCTACTCTATCGGGGAATTGTGCAAAGGCAAAGAGGAAGATTTCATGGCAATGGACATCAGATTTATCAGGAAAAAAGATTGGCAATCAAGGCTGATCAATGACTTATTTGGAAACATTTCCGTCATGTAGCAGATATATATCTGAGTGCAGATCTGATAACCCATAAAATAACCATGGCTAGTCTAGACTAGCCATTTCCAGAGATTGGAGCTCACTTGATTACATTGTAATTTGAGAGACAGGCTGTTAAAACAAAAAGTTCGTAATTGTATCAACAATTACTATAGAAATCTCCAGAAGAACTAAAGCATTTTTCCAAGTGCTAATGTGGAGATGTTTTACATGCTTGCTAGCAAGCAAGTGATAAAGTCGTTTCCTATAAATCACGTTTTGATAGTCAGTTTACCAAAGAGTTTGGAGAACCTGATGATCCTAGTGATCAGCTTAGGGTTGAGTGCAGTTAAATGATGATTACAATGGTGATTGCGACAACAGTGACGGATGAAGAAGAAGAAGAAGAAGAAGAAGAAGAAGAAGAAGAAGAAGAAGAAGAAGATGATGATGATGATGATGATGATGATGATGATGATGAAGATGATGATGAAGAAGCAGATTGAGTACTCTGAGGGAACATCAGTAAGAGAAAAACCATGATAGTTTATATTTGACAAAGGAGAAGTAGATGTCTGGAACATGTTGGATGCAAAAGTTTCTCAAAGCACAGATTGATGACCTTACAAGGCATATTAAAAGGGATTGTCTCTTTGGTATACCACCAGGATTTAGTTATACTACATATATCTACATGACGTACACTAACTTGCAGATGCATTAATGTTTTTTCTTGTTTCAGGTTTCAGATATCCACGTCATCCCATGTCAGCAAATTCAAACAGCACTGTTCATAACAGCACACATCTGGAGAGGACAGAGAATTCACCAAGACAGGAGGTAATGATTAGCTCAGTAATATAAGCTTAGAGATTAATAAGCACATAATGACTGACTGCAGGGGAAACAGTGAGTGTTCTTTCCCCTAGACTCTTAATGTTCCTGAGGTGTCAAGCTGAGCTTGAGTTACTAACCAAAGTATCCATTAACATCTCATTGCGATCAGTTAAGATCCAGTTTCAAGCTAAGCATTCCTTTTGAGAATAAAAAATGAAAATAAAAAAATAAAAATAAAAACAGGGATTTCACAAAATGTCTTCACTCACATGTTACATACAATGTGCAAGCACACTTCGTTATTGATATTCTCTGCATCAATTTCTTTGCTTGTAGTCACTATCTTCAGCTACTGTAACAGAAATCACTCAGCTTTCAGAGACTGTTAAAGGGCTTTGCTTGAAAGTAGAGGATAACAGATTTAAATTCAAACCAGGACAATGGTAAGCACCTTTAATATTAGTGACATCAGTTAAAATTCAGAACTGGCAGGCATGATAACGTAATGGTTAATGCGCTGACTCCGGATCAAACAGACCAGGTTTGAACTCTATCAGAAGTCATGCATTGTGTTGTGTTCTTGGGCAAGACTCTTCACTCTCACATTGCCATTCTTCACTCAGGTGTATAATGCAGAGACATTTTCTAGCTACCTGTTGTGTTACAATTAAAAGCTTGTAAAGGGAGTGAAAATAAATTAGGCCAAAGGCGAACTTTTCAAGATGCGCCATCTCTCGCATAAGTAAACTTACAACGTTTTAAAGATATTTTGTTGGATGTTAAGCGTGATGTTTGAAGTTCATTTGGAAGCGCAGTGGCATCATGGTTAGTGCACTTGTCTCCAGACTGAGTGGTCCGGGTTCAAGTCCTAGCTGGGGTCATTGTGTTGTGTTCTTGGGCAAGACACTTTACTCCCACAGTGCCTCTCTCCACCCAGGTGTATAAATGGTTACCGGCAATCTTTTAAATGCTGGGGGTAACCAGCATCCCATCCAGGGGGGGGAGTAGAAATACTCCTAGACGCTTTGTGCTACAGAAACTGGGATAAGCCCCGGCCTGATGCGCTACTGGCTCAGTTGCAGACTTAACCTTACAAGTGTGTTACATGTTTGTTGTAAGTTGCAAAAACAAGTTGTGCAAGTGGGCACAAGTTGAAGTTTGTGCAACAAGTTGTTGGTGGTTAGTTGGTAATACCCTCATTAATGCTTGTCAACCTTCTTATTAATGCAACATCTATGTGTGACAATTAAGTTGCAACAAAATTTTGTCCATATTACTATTTAGGAAAACCTCACAAAATCCTGAAGGGCTACCTGCACCTCTGATAGACTAATATTACAGGGGACTCGTAACAACATAACTTCAAGCTACAATGCTTTACTGGGGATCACAAATTTCTCATGATGACATCAGACAAGCAAATTTTGCCATTAAGCCTCGCTTTGAAAATGCAAATTGCAAATTTTATTGTGGACAAATTTCCAAAGCAGCAAAGATGAAAAGATTGCCTGTGTGAAAACACCATGAAGGTGCCTGTGTTTTGAGAAAGTTTTGCACAAGCAAGGCTTCGTGGTGAATTTCGGGTGTGTGACATAATCATGCATAAGTTAGACCTATTTCAGTCTTGAAAGTTTACTTACTTAACGGTTGAATTGTGAACATCAATTTTTAATGTATGCTTGATAGCATTATTTTCTTTCTTTCTTTTTGGACCAGGGTTGATTTCTTTATTCCTGGTCTAGCCACTGTGGGTGGATTTTCGATCTGTTCCAGTCCCAGAGAACTCAAGGAGTCCAGCACTATAGAGCTTGCTGTGAAACACAGTCAACACCCCCCAGCACTCTGGGTTCATACTAAGGTTTGCATTTATAACATGTCTTCTAGAGCACAAGTGTACTTTGTATGCTTTAACCCATTGACACCTGGAGATTTTTGGCAAAAACACATTTTTTTGGACGTTTTGGACATTGTTTCAGCATGGATATCAGCTAAAGTAGCTCCAGTCTACCTGAGAAGGCATTTGCAACAATTGACAGCATGCCTTTCTTTTCCTTAACATCGTGTTTAATGACACTTTTTGCTGGGGCACGCACACAAATCAAAATTTTTCAGGTTTCGTTTTTTGCCTTTCATTTTTCTCCTGTTCTTCTCTTTTTGCTTCAGTTGTTGACCTTCTACTGGGTTGCTTCCAGTTCAAGAATTCCCAAGAAAGCATTATCGAGGCGGGAAATTCTTACCATGGAGTAGCCAAGTGTAGTTGAGGGAAATTTTCCTCCGAGTTTTTCGCTCAAATTTCTAAGCACTTTCATGCATTTTTCATGCTCAGTTGACCCAGTCACTCTGATCTGGGTATGGCAGGAAAGATATTTTTCTCCTGCAGAACTTGAGTATTTATAGGTGATTCCAATTTTCCTCAAAGAAAAAAAATTATCTAACTACTGCTAAATACATTAATATCGATTTATACTGTACTGTTTAACGTTTTTTGCACATTGTTACAGTCACATGATTGTTTTGTTGTCAGTATTGTTCTGAAATTCATTTTCTATCTATTTATCTTACACTGAAATCTTTGCAGTAAGCATTGGGCTGGTACCCAGCGTGATCAATCGATGAAACTGATAATCGATAACAATCGATGGCAATCGATATCAATCGATAACAATTAATCGATTGAAATCGGAAATCAATGACCAATCGATGGCCAAAAAATTTGCGTTTTTTAATTGCCATCGATTGTCATCGATTGTCATCGATTACCATATCTTTTGGGGAGGTAAAAAAATGATTTGACAGGAGAAATATGGTGACATGTAATTGTGAAGATCATCGTTACCATCAACAARAGTAACAATAACTTWWTTGATCTCTCTAAATGCGGGTATAATGCAAGAAAATTAACATTGTTAACACAAACTAAACTGGGATGAAAATGTTCGTACTCTTTCAAGTTACAACAGAAACCTACGGTTTAAAGTTTTCTGGTTACTGGTGACTCGAGCTTGTGATTATCAATTGGTCATCGATTGATCACGCCGGGGCTGGTAGTATTATTGAAAATGCTTGTATTTACTTACAGTGTTGTGTTGGCAGTAAGGTTCATATGAGAGTTGGAGGAAACTTTTATTTCGATCCAAAACCTGATGATTCCTGTCCTGACCTGCTTCTTATTGCTGGTGGTGTTGGTATAAACCCAGTATATTCCATTGTACGACATGTTGCTGACATCTCCCCGTATCAACACACTGGAAAAACCGTGCTACTATTCAGTGCACAGAACCAAGATGAACTGCTCTTCAAGGTACACCAGCTGTGATTAATGAGAGGCTTTTGTTTTGCTGTTTAAAAGGTTTCTATGTCTTCAAAGTTTCCAATAATTTAATATTACTGGCTTCCAAATCTTGCAGTTTTTCTTTATTAAACTATATTAATTTTTGACGTTTTATGAGAGCGTCTTTTGCAATTGAATATATAGTATTTTTATTACATGGTTAACTGGTCCACGATGAAATGGAAAATTCTGAAGGTTCGTAACCTTGCACAAATTCAGAAGAAAACAGTGTGTTGTTAGGTACAAGTCTCTTCCTTCATGTGTAGCGTGCAATGGCAGTTTAGCTTTCATCAAAGTGACCTGAAAAATGATCGCAGGGACGTAATAACATATCAGCAGAATTTTGAAACAGCCATTATAATAGATACTTTATTGAACTAGCTGGTTCGGTCTGTATTGGGGAATATTGTTCTGGTTCTTTTTGGTTACTTTTTTGCAAATTTGAGGACTTCGCTGCTTGGTCCTTAAGATACAGTAAACTAAAAAGAACTCGACCATTGTGAAAAGTGAACTGATCAACATGACATGAGCATGGGACAAAGAGAAAATCTGAGTCCCTGACAGGAATTGAACCCATGACCTCCCGAACACCGGGTGGGCACTCTATCCACTGAGCTCTATCCACTGGGTTCAGTTAAATGACCTTGCTCTCCATGAGTTCTCGTAGCTCAGTGGATAGAGTGTCCGCGGGTTGCTCGGGAGGTCATGGGTTCGATTCCTGTCGGGGACTCAGATTTTTTCTTTTTTCCACGCTCGTGTCATGTTGATCAGTTCACTTTTCACATTTCATTACCGAGCTTAAAATTCACCATCTTTATTCACTTATCACAACTCGACCATTATTTCCACAATGCAGTCCGTAAGTGAATGTAACTGAACTAGCGTGAGGTCACCTCACGCCAGTTCAGTTACATTCACTTATGAAATAAAGAATGGTATGTAGCAGCCAAAGAGCTAGTCTAAGTCCCAGAGTTCAGTTCCTTTTTTCAGGGTTTGAACTGTGAGGGGCGAGGTTGTGAAACCGAGTCTCAACAGTTGTGAAGGAAGATACTGTGAAACTCATCAGGCATCACCTGTATACGATGTAAAAACATGACATTAATGAATTAAAATTCAATTACCTTTCAATATGTACTAGCCTGCTAACAGGCTCCTGTTGGGTTACACTTGTAGTGAACTAACATACGCACTGTGTATCAATGTACCAACTAAGGTATGAAGCTACAGAGAACTTACATGTTCACCAACTTCACTCACACTGCGATAGAATTTAACTATTCTCCTTCTCCTTCGCAGGAATCATTGATGGAAATTTCCAGAAAGTGTCCCTCAATACTTTGCAGATACTTTGTCACAAAGCGGGAAAATGAAAATTGTAAAACTGGAGCAGGAAGCACACAAATAATATGTAGGTCCAACACTGGAGTTACCGTACTGCTTATTTCCAATCTTTCTAATTAGCGGGATAGTGCGATCTACATGTATGTACACTGACTATAGCGTCACTTCAAACCTTAAATGAGGTTGAGTTATTTTATTTCTATGTGCAGTGGAACCCCAATAAATTGAACCCCTTTATACCAAAAACCCCGGTTTACATAACGATATTCTTTAGCCCAGCCAAAGTTACAGCGATTTGAAACCGAACTGAACTCCGGTATAACAAGAACATTTTTTTAGTCCCTCAGCCGTTCGTTATATCGGAGGTTTCTGACTTTTGTGTGATCATCAAACGCAGTTGTTTGGAATTATATGTCGAAAGTACTTTTATTTTTTTCTTTCTCTGCTTAAGCTCTGACCCAGCTCCGATAACATTTACTCGCGGAAAGCTCGCGCGATTCGCTCTAACCAATCAAAGAAAACATTCTGTATTTTCAACCAATCCGCGACGATACCAAAACCAATGGTAACTTGGCTTGCCCATGTCTTCCCGCGCTTGGCACGGGCTGGTAGTAATTTTGTCTCTTTTCTTTGAGTTTTAATTGGTCTATTCCGTTACACATTTGTATATAAAAGCGTAAGCCAAAGTAATCGTATCTAGCAATCATAGCAGGCACCGACAATAATATGAACCACCTAATATGACGCACCTTATGGGTGTATCATTTCATTTATTTCATTTATTAGGCACTACATGAAAATGAAGAGAAGACTACCTTCTTTGGCGATTTATTCATAATACGGTCTAGTTATGAAAGTATGTGGCAGGGGTACCTTTTTCAATTGAAGGTATACGAAAGGGGTACTTTCTCTGCCAAAATGGTATACAAAAGGGCAAGGGCTTGGACCTGGTGGCAAAGCCTCCCTGTATAGAACTTTGTAGAGTACTCCCGGAGCCAAGTCACGATTGGTTTCGTTTAAATTCCTGTCTGTCTTTTTAAAGGGTATTTTCCTTTGATTGATCGGAGAACTTTACGCCATTCGTTCTTTGAACAGGGTCGCAATCTCTATTTTCTCGACGCGAAAAAGTGCCCTTCCAGATCTGATCTCTCGCAATCTCATTCCCAGAGTCTTCGTTCCCCTTGACCAGCGGTCGGAAAACGAGAGCTCTGGGAGCAACCATTTTGAAATAACTGAATTCTGGTGATTCTGCCTATCCGGTTTCACTGCGCAGTCTGCATTTATGGCGCATGCCTGAAATGGTTGCTCCCAGAGCTCTCGTTTTCCTACCGAGGATCAAGGGAAACGACTGAGGACTCTGGGAACGAGATTCGATCTCTCGCGGTTCGCTTCGAGTCTTCAATGATAAGCTAATAGACGTACTTGATAAATCATATTCCAGAGATGGTGTACCTTGTCCCTAAGATGCTGAATCTTTTCTTACACTCATTTGAATTCTTCTCATTCATTGTCAGATGAGCATGGTCGTATAAATGAATCAAGACTTCAAGAAGCTGTATCGTCCCTGGACAGGAGTCAGTTAATGTGTTATATCTGTGGTCCTCCACCAATGATCAAACACGTGTCAGACATCTTGTACAAGTTGAACATTGCAGAGAACAGAATACACTTCGAGAAATGGTGGTAGCGGCCGGCTTCTTCATTTTGCTTAATGGGACGCACTGACAAAGTAAAATGGAAAGTTCGGATTTTTGGGGGGACGTGGTTATAGCCGAAAATTACATATTAGAATTCTGTTGGTAGGCATCCCCTACAATTTTAATGGGAACGGCCATTTGGAAGCTTATTTTGAAAATACATGTATTCTTCTAATTGTTCAAATTTTCAAGTGAGGACGTATTCAAGTAGAATACCCCTAGCACGTTTAAATTGTGCACATGATGTCGACACTAGGTCTTAGGTTGGTTTAATTAAAGGTTGTTGCATTCATCACATGTATTTATAATTTTCAATAAAGTTCGAGTGGTCCAAATTTCTGTTGTGGGTAGGTTGTGTGTATGTTCTTTTCGGTGGTTTGGGTTGTTTTATTCAGTGTTCAATTTCGGGAACTGACGTAGGAATCATGTGATCTTCTGGGTTTTTTTTTTGGTTTTTTTTCACTGTCTACGCATGTCAAATTCACACTCAACAGGAGACTGCACCCCTCCAGGTCGAAGACGATGCCTCTACTTTAAACAAAGCGGCTTTGTTATTTTCAGTGTTATTTGAAAAGAATACTAGCGACATTTAATGTGGAAAGGTTTCTATAAAAGTTGTGTTTAATGGGTATTTTGGCTTAGATAAAGATGTGTTTACTTACTGAAACGACCGCAGTGCCCATTGTTTGATTAATGATGTTAGCATTCCAGGAAGTTCTAGTTTACAAACGGGGAACGAACATGTTGTTCGTTTCGAATTCGGAGTTTTGAGTTGGGTAACACATTTTCTAGTTTTAGGTCCTTCCTTTTGCTTTTTGAGATCTTCGTTTCCGGCTTTTTGGTTGGAAAAGATTTTCGCTGAGAAAAATTGCCTAACTCCCCTTCCCCTCCATAATTTAATTGGTCATCGCTTAGTTTTGGGGTTCTGGGTGCTTCTTGTTATCATCTTTGTTTTCGGTAATTCCGCAGTGGTTCTTTTTCAAAACGAAAATTTCATTCATCCTTAATCAAACACCCTCTTTGTCTTGAATTACTCCCCTACATCACCAAAAAAAGAGGGTACAGTCGTATATTTCGATCCACTGTCACTCAAATAGCAAATGGCATCTCGTGACGGAAGACGAATGAAGGACGGGTTTGTACCTACTTGATTCGTCTTCCGTCATGCAACTTACTCTCCATCCCCCAACGCTATTCGCGTGACAACGGAGATAATGTCAACCCTTTTTCGACGCTTTCGTCATGACTAAACTTAGAAAATGTTCAAAACTGTCATCTAACCCCAGTTTCCGAATTCTACGGGTTATTTTTTTTCATTATGTTTTGCTCTCCACGCAAATGTACTGTGCGTAGGAGGCAACTGGTCGAGATTTTTCTGACACCCACTCGCTCCAGTCCCCACGGTTGTGCAACAAGTGCTGAAAGAAGAAGTGTTGTGAACTCTCGAGCCTGCTTACGAAACATCTTTGAAGTTCTTGTTGCACTTCCTAAGGAGGGTCTCCGTTTATCACATATTCTGTGGTAATTGTCTCCTACCAAACTACATTACAAATAGCATTTGCACTAAATCTGACGCCGCATTCCGGAGCATTCCGTTGACGTTCGCTAGAGGCGTGTATCCGGTGTTGGTCAGGGCTTGTCTGTGACACAGGTAAAGGGATATTTTCGTATCATAATCGAATTGCGCCAGTCTTGCCCAATACCGACAGAGAATATAAGTATTTCTTTCGTGTGAATCTGTAGAAGAATTCTATAGTTGAAGTTTTGAAGTTCAGTTCGTTATCACAAGATCAATGGCCCCGTACACTTCCGATGGAAGCTTGTGAGTATTTGATATCTGCGTTGTAATTCGCAAAGTAAAACTCCCTCAAGCTTTAAACCGCATTTAAAAGAATTGAATAACGATATTTTACTTTCCAGCCTTCTCAGTTAACTTTGATAATCAACCTTTATAATAATTAAGCCTAGAGATATGGTCTTTATTCATGGCACGACATGATCTTTTGAATTGTAGGTCATAGATTCTTTTTGCGATAACCTAACAGTAACGAATTTTTAGATTTATGTTGAGTAATAAGCCTTATATATATTGGTTTCTGTCTGATTTTAGTTTGCGTGCTTTCACATGCTTTCTGTTTCACCCTCGTGTAAGTGATCTGAAAGCATTACCCTATTCGCACTTGTTTCCATTAGACTGATTGCTAAAGAGAGATCTTGCATGTATATGCTAATCTCACATAATTTTGAGCGTTTTTTAATTCATGTTTTCTGTAGTTTACTTATCGAGATCGAAAATAAAAACTGAACCCGAGCTCTGCTTAATAGTACTGAAGAAAATTTGTTTTGTTTCAAATGGTGAACATTCAGTCCTTTAGGGATTACATGGCTGGATTTGTTTTGGTATTTTACAATAGATATCATGCTCGAGTGAGTTTTCATAGTAAAATATTAACTATTGTTTATGATAACTGACAGTGTTGTGTAAACAAAATAACATGTAATACAACTGTAATTTCTTCGATCTGAGGACTTTGAGTTTTGGATTTAGCCGGAGTGAGGGCCCTTCATTATATAATTGTGCTAAGCTTCTAACTAGCCTATGATGCTTACATGTTTACTAATTAGAGAATACACCAAATTAAATTGGAATTTTTTGTGTTGGATTTTACCTCATGGTCTTGACTTGAAAATTATTATGGGGACTCAAGATCCTATTAAGCAATCTTAAGATGCAATTCATCATTGTCATTGTAGTAAGTTTATCTCAGTGTTGGTTGCTTCAAAAGTCAGTCAAGCAATTTTCATAATGTGACTTGTGTAACATAATATTATTGTATGTGTAGCCCATACCATTTTTCATCCCCTGAGGAACTAGTTGGAATGTTCGTTAAGTTGGTGGTCACCCTTCTAAATCAAGCAAGTCCTTTGTCTAAAACATTCCTTGCGCTAACTGTTTATGGAGTTATGTCGTTGAACCGGTACATGTAGATCTTTTGTTACATGGAAAAAGAACACAGTTGTAGGGAACATCAAATAAACAGCAGCCAAAGGCTCCTGGATTGTACATCATGCATGGTTCCATGACCATGTCATTGATTTTAACAACGCTTCCCCATCAATGGCAAAGACAACTATCACATTAGAAAATTTCTGTAATCTAGGCATACCACATCAACCCCCAATGAGGAAAATAACTCTTGTTCACTACCAGGACGAATACAGAATAGCACTCTGTTTAACAAAATTTCTTCAGTGCAATTCTATAATTTTATTCCATTTTATTCTATCATATTTTATTCTATTGTATTTTATCACACTATATTTTTTAGCACCTTTATACCATTTTGCCCATTGAAGACTGTACTTAA